GGCAGTCACCAGAACCACTGAACTAAATCCCTGGCGCATTTTTTTTAGAATTTTTTTTTGGTACTTTTAAAATATACAGTGCAGTTACATTTATCATTTGGATCTTGTACCCTTACATGACGTGTCTTGGTTCTCATTTTTTCCCCATTCCCCTGTCCTCCCTTCACCCCCTCCACTGTTCCCTATTTACAAAGACTTTGTTTCCATTTTTTCCTTTTCTCATATTTTTTTCTTTTCCCTTATTTCCTGTCTCCTACCCTTCCCACTTCCCCCGGAATATTCTTAATTTGTCATCAATTATTTGGAATTCCATTTTCCTGTGTAAAAACTCTGTGCATCACTAGCAGCAACAGCTTTTCCAGGTTCTGCAGTCATCTGAACAAAATTATAGACATTCAGCACATTCCATTAAAAAAAATACACACACACACACATATATATATATATATGTAAATTGAATTTTGGGAAACTTTTAACGGTGCTGCCAACTTTGGAAAAAGTCATCCCAATTTACTGTGTTGACTTGGCATTGTACAGAAATGGACAAACATATTGGTCTAGAAATGTTAATTTATTTTTATTTTTATTTTTTTCCATGTGTACAGGGGTAACACATCGTACTAAATATGTAAGATCATATCTACGTGGGTTTGATTTCAGAAACTAGTAAAGTATTCTCTAAATAATGAAAAAAAGAATAAGATAAGACTATAGGAGCGAGAAGCAATTTAAATATGTTCAGGGACCATTTTCATCTCCAGAATTAAGGATTATTTTGATGTTACATCATTGCCTTTTCTCTTTTACTTTCCTTTTTAGTTTTATTTTAGGATTACCTATTTTTAATGTTCATACAGAGATTTCTTTAACTGAAATACCAAATAGTTTCTTTGGTGTGAAAAACTGTAATAGTACACAGGATCTTAATGACACAATTAATAATGTGAAATAGGAAGTAAAGGGCTAAAGGTGTAAGGAAAGTGGGAAGGGTGGGGGAGAGGTAATAAGGGAGAGGAAAAAATATGGGAAACTGAAAAAATGGAAATAAAGTGTATATAAATGGGGAGGGAAGGTGGTGAAGGGAGGGCAGGGACAAGGGGAAAAATGAGAATCAAGACCTATTTTGTAAAGGTACAGAATCCCAATGATGAATGTAATTGTACTGTATACCTAGATTGTACCAATAACCTCAATAAAAAGAAAAAAAAAAACAAAACTGGGCTGGGGATTTAGCTCAGTGGTTCTGGTGCCTGCCTCACAAGCACAAGGGCTAAAAAAAAAAAAAAAAAAGAAAGAAAAAAAAAAACCAAAACTCTGTGTGTGTGTGTATGTGTGTGCACTTGCCTGTCTTTAAACAGAATAATTTTCCAAATAAATAGGCGTGAATGTTGAGAAAAAATGGGGCTCTCCGTGCATGAGGCAAGAGACATCACCCTCTGGTAATTTCCTTTCTTTGTAAACCGGGTCTGTAGGTGCTGACATGATGAGTTGTGCTTCCTCTTTTGGCTTTTGTGGTTGTATTCTCCCAGCTTTTCCATCTTGGGGTCCTTCTGGGATGCTTTTGGCTCCTTAACTGCAGTCAGGGTATTTATCCATGGGTGATAGTTTTGAGTTCGGCAGCTTTATCTCCGATGGCCATGGCCTTGGCTCAGTAAATTATGATTCCAGAAAAAGAAAAAAATAGAAGTGAAGTCACTGATAGTCAAGGAGCATGGCTCTGGTTGCAGATTTGACTCTGGTGTGTCAGAGCTGATGACTGAAGTTTCAGCTGAGTTTGAGTCACTGTATCTACTGAACACCATACGATGGATTCCAGGGATTCTAGATTTAGAAGATTTATACTACCATTTCATATTTTTCCTAGGCCTCCAATTTCTTAGATGATGACTAATTATCTTCCTTTTCTCTCCAATATAACAGTCACCATCTGTAGCTGTCAAAATTCCAGATTTTATTTACTCGACTGAGTCGTATTTATTTCGACAAATGAGTGCACTTTTCTACGAGGCAATTCTGAACATGCCACCTTCTTCATTTCTGTTGTACTTCTTACATAAGTACGTGACTTCATCAAACTCAGCAAGATTACTTATCAGTGGTTTCACTTAGCAGATTTGGTGTTTCGCTTTTTTAAAAAATAATGTAGGGTCTGTTTTGATTAACAAAGACTAAATGTGTGACTGGGAAGGAGGGAGTTCTAATTGTGATCATAATCACTTGCTCAGGCTTCCTATGACATTTGGAAAAGCTTCATTGGGTTTGTGTAAGCCCTGGGCTCTTTGTAAGGTCTAGGCTTAGCTAGGCAGTCATGAGGTTGCACAGTATCTGGTCCTGTCCCAAGCTGTCATGTAAGAATAGGAGCTACAATTTCTGCTGGAGGTTCAAAGAAGACAAAATGAGCCTTGTCATATGTTTTCTTGTGGACCAGAGTATTAGTTAGATTTAGGTTTTGCTACTGGATGTGGAGGTTTGATGCGAAGGTTGATGCACCCCAAACAGGTAGTAAATATCAATATTTTCCCTGTTAATCAACAGTGTAGCTGGGTTCCATTTCAAGATCTACTAGATATTTTGATGTAGAAAGTTCATATTCTGTGCCTGTCAGAATATTATTGACAAACTTTCTGGTTAGTAGGCCAGAGTGTGGGAAGTCACTCTGATTCCTTTAGGTCAGGTCACTGTACACTTTAAATCTCGATAACACCTACTTCACTTCAAATGGAGATGGTTTAGAAGCAACATTACAATCAGTATTTATCACTGTTTTCAAATTCCTGTGCATTTGTTTAGATTTGCAATCCTCACTCTAGTTTTATCACTTAACTGGACAGAGCTAATTCATTTTGAGCTAAGCCCTGTAGAATTCTTTCCCATCTATTTCCTTTTTAGTCAAATCACAACCAATAAATCATAAGATGCTATATGAACTGCATTTCACATATTTGTTCAGGTGTTGCCTCTATGATTCCAAAAGTCAAGTCCAGGTTAAAAAGAGCCTGTCAGGAAGTTCACTTCTGTGTTTCGGGTGCCTGTGAGCTTGGTTTCAAACTGCCACCATCTTTTCTTGCATCATTATGCTTCCTACTGATATTTTAGGAGACTTATAAAGACTTATTTTAAAAATATCAATTGCATAACTAGCCATGTGTGTATGTCTCTGTGTGTGTATGTGTGTTAACAATTTAAGGGACAGGAAAGAAGAGAAGTTTTGGTCAGGTTTCCAGGGTTTACCAACCAGCAGGGGGTAAACTGAGTGTAGCTGGTATGCATGCTTCCTGGTATGAACATTTACTTTAAATTTTGATTTTTGGAGAAATTTAGGTAAAGCATATACGCTGTTTTTCCTAATCCCCCAAATCTTGATTGCTTTCCATCTATCGTAATTCACATATTTATATTTGTGTGTAACCTTGTAGGCATTTGAGTTTTTCGTAATTGCTTTAGAGTTTTTATTGCAATTAGCAAGCATTTTTGATTTCATAGTTGTTGAAGCCAGAATTTCAGAATTCAGTGTCTTTTATTTCCATGTCATGACCTGTGTGGTAGTTCATTGATCTCCAACAGGAAATAGGAAATAACAATTATTATTATTATTATTGTTATTATTATTATTTTTGGTACCAGGGATCTAACTTGGGTCCTTGTGTTTGTGAGGCAGGTGCTGGAATCACTGAGCTAAATCCCCGACCCAACAATTATTATTTTTTAACTTCTTTTTAACCCCTGTGTTTTGTGAATATTTCTCAAGCATGTTTTTCCTATTACATACTTATTTCTGTGTTAATTCTGCTCTTCATTCCAATATGTGGTAAGTATTAAATTCTACTAATTTTGCAATAGTTTACATTATTTGGGAAGTTTTCATCAAATTTGCCTTTCAGAAAAGCTCCTGATTCATCTTAGTCTTTTAGCTTATTTTCATCTTCTATTTCCTATATTTTTTATATAACTGAGCTTTGCTGAGGTTACAACATGTATATTCCATAAAATTTTCTTCCTTTCTACAATAAATGATTTTAAAACACTGCTTTCTCTTCCAAGATATGTTGTTTTCATTTTGTTGTAAAGTCCTTTTATCATAGGCAGTAAAAGTTATTTCATCTTGTAAGATTTCAGTAATGTTTCTAAAACCAGCTGTATTTCACCCATCTATTTATAATAAATTTACAGTAAACCTTTCCTCCTTAGTTTAGGAAATAGCTACCAGATATAATTTACCATAATCGAAATTTTATGTATTTAAAAAATGATACATTTTGTTGGATATTTTTCTTTCTAAATTTGGTAGATACCGCTTTCTTGCCTTTCTGAGTTTAGTGACTGTTTTTGTTTCCCGAGTAAATCTGTCTACTTAGAACATGCGAGCATTAATTTGCACATGGCGGTATATTCTCATTATTTGGGAAAAACTTATGCAGGCTTCACAAGCAAATAATTAATCATATCTTTTTCTTTACCATATTATTTAGAGTTAATTTCAGAAGATAAACAGATTTCCAGCAGATGGTGACTGAAACAAAAATATTTCAATTTGTTACCTGTAAATCGGATTTAAAGACATAGCTTTCCCATAACTGGACTTCTGCTTTTCTGTTCTGACTCCCAAATAATGTAATGGAAAGTCACAGGGCAAATACAAGTCACTGCCTCAGAAGAAGGAGGAGGATCATATGGCAAAGGAGAGAAACATATAAATATGTACAGGTTTGTTATATTCTGAGAGAATTATATTCTTTGTTCTGAAAGTAAACTCAGAAGAAATTCAACGTAACCCGAATAGATTTTTCTTATTCCCATGAATGCATTAATCAAGGGAAATAAATGAGGAAGGGTACTTCCTAACCCTCCCTTGAAGTTAACGGCTGGATTGTTTTTAAAGAAACAGGAAGGTGAGGGGATAATTATTTTTTATTATGGGTACGAGGATCTTACGAACTCAGGATGTTATGCTTGCGAGGCAGGCAGCAGCACCACTGAGCTAAATCCCCAGCCCATGGGTCATTTATTTTTAACATCAACTAAGAAGTTACGGGACAGCCTTAACGGTAAGTCTGCCGGGGTCCTCTGCTTGCATCTCAGCAAAGGTCTCTTCGTGGGCTGTGCCTTCGCAGGTGTGTGAAATGTACAAACTTTTCCTATGTTGGTTTGTAAGAAGAGTTTCTCTATGTCAGTTTTTGTTTTTTACTTGCTCTGGAGCATAATTCCATTGTTAAACTGTAGAGCTTCATTACCAAAATAAGGCAAACGAGGGCCGCGTAAAATTGTTGTCTACTTTCAGCTGATTGTATCTTTTTTGCTTTACCCCGAGCTGCAAAAAAACCAAAAAAAGTGCTAGAATCATAAAATCTGAGTTTGTGGGACGGAGTATAACTTTTTCTTTCTGACTCCCATTTAATATTGAAATCCTTTGCAGTGATATTCAAGTTGTTGTCTGTTCTTTTCAATATCACTCAGCATTCTCAGAAAACAGAGCAAATCTATTTGCCTGCAGTTATGTCTAATGCTATTGTTTGGTAGCAATTATAATGGCTATTCAAATATTGAAAGTAACTGTTGTTCCATCCCTGTTTTTAAAAGCTGAGCTCAATAGCCTGTGTTCCTTTAACCTTTCTGCACATAAATGTGCTTTGAAGCATTTTATCCTTTTGTAACACAGTAGTGTCCATTAATTTTATTCTTAAGATATAATTCTAGCATCCTGCTATTGGGCTACATCCATTGTTTGGCAAGATTATAGCATCATTTTATGCACTATGATTTATTTTAGAAATCTAAAATAGATAGATAATTAAACCCCCAAAGACCAGTTTTATTCTCATTCTTTCCACATTGTGAAAACAATTGTTAAAGCTTATTTAATTCGATAAGATCTGCATTTATTTTATTTTGTGTCATTTGCATTACAAATATTAAAATTTTATCTTTGATTCAACTTCCATTCTTTGATATATTTTTCTGTTTAAAATGTTTAAAATTCTTAACTCTGGATAAATAAATTAATATGACAAAAATTATCAGAAAGTAACTGTTTATGTTATACTGTGTCTCATTTTCTAAAATACTGATACAAAATGTAGAGAATTTTTATCATTATTGGTGAAGTATATAAAACTGGAATTTTATTCACCAGACTGCAGAAGTTAGTTGTTGGACTACTTGCATTAATTATTAGTAGTCGGTAGCAATGAAGTGTGCTTTATTATTGAGGAGACAAATTTCATCCCTGATATCTCATTTATCCGATAGTAAGTACAGAAGCTAGGAAGACTTTGACCTCAGGCAGGTAAACTGAAGCCAAATTGCAAACTTTTCCTTCTGCTCCTGTGACCCTTTTGGACAATAGATTTGAATTCAGTCAATTATTAACGTCCTCAGTGAATGTCCGTGTGCTGGGTGCTGGCCCTGGAGTCTTGGTCCTTGCTGGGCCATGGTGGATTCTGATGGTCTTGGGTCACAGGTCACAGATAGGTGCTTCTTAGATGAGAATGGTTTCACAATGTGTTCTCTGCAGCAGTATTTTCACAATGGCTGAGTCTCAAAGATCAACTTTCAGCTAATGGTAACTGTCAGAACATTGGCTGTGCGCACAGTTCTTAAGAATTGTGCTTATCATCTTTATTCTGAAATTATCTCCTTTAATATTGCATGGAAAAGGAGAAGATTTTCTAAATTTTAAGAGATGCCTGTTTATTTCTTTTTTGTTTGCTCCCTTGAAGGGATGTAAAGATTTTCCATTTTTGTTTCTAATAAACAGTCACAGCTGGTAAAGCAACTGTGGCTTCACATTTTTTCACTTATTTCAATTGTTTCAAGTAGTGTACCCCAGGCCTGTCAACTGCGGGCAGCTCAGAGAATTATTTTCATATCTATTTTCTTCACAGCATTTATTCTCAGATGACAGTAATGAGCAGTGTGTTGAGAGTATATACCTTATGTGAATGAGCAAGCCTTTTCTAAGATATGATGGTGCATATTAATTCTCAACTGCATTTGGTGAGGTCTTGGGTTTACCGTCTTATGCTAAGTTTCAGTTTCAAGATTTTTAATCCTCAAAAAGCAGAAAGGAGGCATGCTATTTTAGATGTCAGTACCCTTCACAGCCAAGATTTGGCTCAGGATAATTGAGAAGCAATGTAGGGTCAAGTACAGGGTATGCAGGGGAACAAGTTGTTAGAGTGACTTTACTATAGGTGGGAGAACAGCTAGGATATGACTGATGATGTACTCTTAAGGTACTTCAAAATTTAATTTTTTTCAAATTCCCTCTACACTGTCCCTGGAAATGACACTGATTAATTTCCTATGATAGCTACATTCAGATTCTTTTCCCCATTCAGTGCAGTTCCCCAGCCACTGCATTCTGCAGTTCAGACCTAAGTATGATTATTTGGCTTGGAGAAAATGAAATTTTTGTCAGAAAAAAGGAGAAATAAGTTTAGCAGATAGAGATGGGCATTAAAGTTTTCTGTGGGGGACTCAGTGCCTTGATGTACTTGTGGCAGACAAGATACAAATTTAGTGTAAGAATGGAAATGTCTCACTTACTTAAACTTTGATTAATCTCAGTGAGGATTCTGATTAGAGACAGAAAATTTTATTTAATTTTATTATTTCTCAGCTAGTCAAAAGTAATGCTTTTTGCTAATAAAAAGTGTAGCCCTCATTTAGGCTTTGTCCAGGGTTAATTCTGCTTTTCACAGATCTGAATATTAGATTGAACAGGGTTGCAAATGTTCATTCATTCCTGCACTTAAACAACTGTCATTTAACAATACCCGATGAATTTTTTAAGAAGGAATACTATAAAGACAATGAAATTAATAGCAGAGAATGAATGAACAAAAACTATACAAAATTTGCTAAAATCTAGCTTGTGTAGGAACTGCGTGTGTACTCACACCAAAAATTGACATTATAAAATGTAAATATCACGTGATTCTGGGATTACCTGTAATGTAGTATAACTGGACTCTCTTGAATTAGCTCTCTTCCTACTAAGTGCTAACCTTAATGCCAATCTTGAAAGTGGTCATGTTGAAAAAACCATCACAAAGTTCAAAGTCAAGGGCTTGGATGGAGAAAGGTGAAGGTTGTGATGGACAAGGCCAATTGTCAACTTGAATGGCTTGAGAGCCCCTCAAGAGGCTGGTCCAGTGCATTTTTGATAGGTCTGGATGGGTCATCTAGACCTTGAGGTCTATATCTTATCTCTTGCCCGCTGTCTCTAGTGCCGTTCCCCTGCTGTGTTCCAACCAGCTTGAGGTGAGCGGCTTTCTTTGGCCAACCCCTTCTGCTACCATCTTCCTTCCTTCCTTGGAGCCATCCAAACATGGACTGATTTCCCTGGAACCGTGAGCCAAATTAAACCTCTTCTTTAAGTCGTAAATGTCAGATATTGGGTCTCGGTGATAGGAAAGCTGACTAACACAACGAGATTATTTGGCTACCCTTGCAACTAGTGTTCTTAAAATTCCTCATTTCACCTCTCTTTCCTACTGTAAATTTCTACTCTGTGGGATTGCTACTTTGTTTCTTCTATTGCCACAGTTTCATCTCTTCCCTACCTGTTCTGCATCCCCTTCTCAATCATGATTGATCCAGCCTTGCTCCTTCCCTGTGTGACACATTTTGTTACCGCTGTTCTTAGGTAAATTAATATATATTTCAGATTTCCAAAGTTCATACATATGCACCACACAAAGCCATATAGCAATCATTCAGGGGCATCTAGTTTAGCTAGGGGAGCTAAGGGGTGGGTTGTTTTCTTCCTTGTGGGACAACCACCCTCCTTTGGAGCTTGTCAAATCCATAATGAGGTAGGTCTAGAGAAAAGGTCTGCAAACCTTGCTTTAAGGAAACTAATCTAACGAGGGTAAAGAAAAAGCACAAGGGGACATTTACTCTCATAGAGACTGAAGGAGATGATGTAATAGTAGATAGATAACATCAGTTCTGATAGGTCGGTCAGGTTTCTTTCTTTTTTTTTTTTTGAAGAGATGATGTTTAATCGAATCATAAACAGGGCTACCTGGAAAGCAGGGATGATTTCAAGGAAGGGACGTCCCAATAAACAGGGCCAATAGAAAGTGAAATTTCAGAATAGGGAACAGCGGTGCACAATGGGGCACAGAGACTGGGCTTGTTGCCTGGGACACAGAAAGAGGAGTGGTGCTGGATGCTGTGCTTGGAAGGTTTGACTGGAGACAGATTGTTGAGGGCTTTTATCAGATAATTAGAAGTTAGAGCTTGAATAGCCACAAGAAAACAATGAGACCCTGTTGAACTGGCAAATGACATAATGGTGTAGGATTCTACAAAGACTCAATTGAAAATTACATATGAATAGAGAAATGAAAGAGACAGGAAGCGGACATTAGGAGCTATTGTGATATTGCAGAAAAGACATAAGGCTTTTAATTATTTCTCTTATGCGCGTTTGACATTTCATCAGCAAAGTAAAAAAAGAAAATCTTTTTTTTTTTTTTTTTTTTTTTTTTTTAAACTTTTTTTTTTTTTTTTTTTTTTTTTTTTACAAACTACTTTGGAGCTCACAAGTTTTGGCTTTCTCCTTGTGTTAATATCTCCCTGAAATTCAGCATTTATGTAGGAAGATGTTTTAAAAGTTCTATATTCCTTTGAAAGGAGATAAAAGGATAATATTGCATTACTTCTTATAATGGTATTTTGAAAGTAATTGAAGCACAGAGAATGTATATAAACATATAAAAAGTGTGGCATATTATCATGTTGTCTGTTACTTAATCATTTCTTCTATTATGAACAATAGTCAGAAGAGTGTTTGTGGGAATATTGTAATGTGAAATGTCTTTCTCATGTGTTGAAATGTCGCAACACACAATGTCATGTCGCTATGCCTAAATCTTTTTTGAATTTTTTGCTAAGTATACTGAAAATCTCGATGTGCAAGATGGATTTGTGCAATTTAGGGGCCCTGATCCCTCTGGAGACTACTCAGTAGGTTAACTTCTATTTATATATTTGTGAATATAAGAACTGTAAAATAGACTTTGTTGAACTTGAAAAA